CTCTGCATGATAAGTCATTAAATTAGGTATCAAGTTCTTTTTGCTACAGACTACTAAATCATGTCAAGAGCATATCTTGCCTCCTAATCGTTTATCCTCATAATTACTTGACATGAGGGAAATGTTCCTGGAAGCTTCACCTAAAAACCAACAGGCTGTTGGTTATTAATTTAAGCCACAGAACCACAATCTCTTAACTAAAGTCAGCATTGTCTGGGGAGAAAAACCTACACAAAAAGCAGTATGTAATCAAAGGAAAACCAGGCAGAATACAAAATATGAACTAGAAGCTCAGAATGAAAAAATACAAGATAAACAAAAAGTTGTATTTAGAATGGCTTTTTACTCACAAGAATGGCAAGAAGGAGCATTTTTAATATACAGTGTGTTTCAGAGAAAACAGAAAGTTTAGGTAAATTTCTGTTGCACATTTGTGGAAAAAAAAAACATATATCAGAAAATTCCAACAATAGCCATGGTAAGCCTTAAACACAGGAACAGAAGTGAGGCGGTTTTTAAATCAGCAGCTCCAGATAGCCTGCATCCAAGAATTTTAAGAGCTGGCAAAGGAGACTTTTGTGCCGTTAATGTGGATTTTCCATAAGCTCTGAGAAATCTGGGGAAGCTCAGAAAAAAGGAAAAATCTCAAAGAAAGCTGAGGTAATGCAAATACTAGGAAAATAAGTAAGAAAGGAACAAATTCAGGCACTTACGGTCAACCTCGCCTTAATCCCAGGGAAAAAACACCAAACCCAAACCAACTTCTTCATACAGGAATAAGAAATAAATGAGCAAATTGTACTTAAATTACACAGCTCAAATGTATGGAAAATGTATATTTTCAGAATTACTTTTTTTTTTTTCTCATGCAATTACAGCATTTGTTTGGTGGACAACAGGAACAGTGTTGATATAACACACTTGCACATTGACTTTTTCAGCAGGACACAGAGAAACTGGCACAGTTATGCACCTACAGTTCACAGCAAGCAAATTAAAACCAAGGCTACAGGTTTGTCTCAGTCAGACATCTTTTTAATTGAATCCCACAGGAATTAGCTCTTGGCAGCAAAGTACTCAGTATTTTATCTGGAAATAAAGTTTACTAAGAACATTCATAAAAGCTCTAAGTAAACCGTGCAGCAAGGCTGCTGATTGGGAACCATCTGGATTACTGGAAAACTAAGTGCTTCAGCATGATCAGTGTGAGGTCATGTATTTAAGAGTGATGAATTTAAAACACTTATAGATGGAAAACTTCCTCAGGAAGTAGCTGGAATAGCTGGTAACAGAATAAACATGGGTATGAGTTCAAAAATAGTATATATGTAATTGTTAAATGGTTCCAAAAAAAACCACCAGAACAAAATGATGTTTTCATTGCAGGGAGCAAGAGACCAGAGAAACATGAGTATCACCAAAACTTATTTTTTATGTACTGATCTCCATTGGCAAAAGACATTGCTGCATTCCAGGAAACAGCAACAGGATGAAAACTTCTTTATCCACATTTTTTGGAGGTGCTTTATCAGAATACAACCTCTAGTACTTTCAAAGAATATATTAGTAAATTAGAGATTTCAAATAATCCAAGTTTAGGCAAATGAGCTTAAACAATGGAACAGCTGGAGTATAAAAGTTAACTGCATCACATGAGGTTTAAGGACCAAATGAAGACATCTAAAGCATCTAAAGACATCTAAAGCAAATGAAGGCATCTAAAGAAAAAAAAATATACATTAAAGCAGAGTGTGAGAGCTGAAAGTAAGCTCATCTTAAAACACCAAGCAAACTTTCTTGAATAACCATATGTATGAATAACCATAGTAATAACTTTCTTGAATAACCATAGTAATAACTAAGCTTCCAGAGGTGCAGTAGTTCTGCTAACATTATACATGTCTATAATTCCTGAACAGAACTACAAATTAGAATTCAGTAATTAATTTTAAAAGATAGTCATAGTGACCCTACTGTAGGCCATCATTTCAATACATGTTTCTCAGGTTTTCCAGTGAGGTAACCTGAAACAGACATGTTTTCAGCAAAACGCTTGGTTTGGGACTAACAATTACCACTGTCCAGGCCAAATCAAAGACAATGCTCAGTAAGAAATATCCCTCCAATGCCCAAACTGAACAGATAATGGAACTTCCATAAATAAAATTCATTTCAGTTTTTAAATTTAAGCATGAATATAACAAGCGCTTTTACTTAAATCATTCAATTCTGCTCTCGCAGCTCCACTTGACAGATTCACACGGGGCTGGACCAGACCTCTGGGGCCAGAGTCCAACCTGTGCCCGAACCCCTCCACATCCAACTAAACCATGGCACATCCAGCCGTTCCTTAAACCCCCCCAGGAACAGCGCCCACCATCTCCCTGGGCAGCCCATTCCAATGTCTAGTCACCCTTTCTGCGAATAAATAAATCCCTACTAAATTCCAACATAAACCTCCCCTGGCACAACTTAATACCATGTCCTCTCTTCCTGTCACTTTCACTTGTGAAAGAAGATAAAAAGACCGAAAGGCTCAGACTGGAACGGGCTGGCTGACGCTGGAAGCGATGAAGCCTCGCCTGTGCGCCAAATCCCGGCCCTCCCCCCAGCAGAACGCCGGAATCTCCGGGGAAAGGCAGGCAGGAGCCCGAGATGCCCGCGGGACCCGAGCGGGAAGGGCGCTGTGTCCCGCAGGCCAGCCCGGGCCAAGCCCGAGGAGGGGGCACAGGAGGTGCCGGCCCCGGGTCCCGCTCCGCTCCCCATGCCCGGGACTGTTGGGCCGCCATCCACCCATCTATCCCCGCAGGAAGCGGAGCCTCCGCGGCTTCCGCGCCCGGCGGGCGGGTGAAAGGTCCCGCGGCGCCCGGATGAAGGCGGCGCCGCTCCGCTATATAAGCGCCCGCTGCCGCCGCGCCCGCCTCTCCGCGCCGCCGCCTCCTGGCTCACCGCTGTTCGCTGGGCCCCGCGCCGCCCGAGCCCGGGAATAAGTCGGTCAGGAAGGCCCCGCTGCCGCCATGGTGAGGCGGGGGAAGTGCCGGGGACGGGGGAAGGAGCGGGGGCGCCGGGCCGACCCCGCCGCGTGTTCGCCGTGCCGGCCGGGGCGGTGCAGGCCCTCGGCCCCGGGAGAGTGCTGCGCTTCCCGGCCGTGCGCGGGGGCCCTCGGCTGCCGGGGCAGCTCCGGAGCTCACCCCGAGCCGGCGGGCAGGGAGGGCGGCCTGGGCGCCCGGCAGTGCCGTTCTTTTCGGGGGCGGCCCCGCGGGGCAGCGCAGGCGGAGGGGAGGCGGCCGCAGCCCGGCGTGAGCGGCGCTGATCCGGCCTCGTGTCTGCCCTCACAGGCCGCCCTTGTTGGCGAACGCGGTCACTGAATGCGGCAGGTAGCACCTCATGGCCAGTGAGACATGCCGTGTGTTTCACAGAAGCACAGAGTAGGTCACGTTAGAAGGGAGCACAGTGGGTCGTCCAAGAGCACATGGCACAGGATTAAGCCCGGACGGCTCTTACTATCTCCAGAGAGGGATAGGCCATACACAGTCTCTCTGGGCAGTCTGTTCCCGTGCTGGGTCACATGCACAGTAAAAAAGTTCTTCGTATTCAGGTGGAACTTCTGTGTATCAGTTTCTGCCCGTTGTCTCCTGTCTTACTGGTTGGTACCACCGAGAAGAGCCTGGCTCCATCCTCTGGGCAACCCCCCTGTTTATATTTTTATAGAAGCATATGTAAATATATATTTCATTTCCCTTCTCTTAAGACCTTTGTCCATGTTTTTATTCCTATTTCATCAGCTCACTTAACTGACATTAATGTCCCATTATTTGCAAGTGTTTATTTGCTTAAGCTCCTCAAATCAGTTTCCCGAGTGGCCAAATTAGTCTTTCTGCCCAGGTGCCCCTTTTTGTTCTCGTGGTGTGAGTTGTTGCAAATTTATTGATCAAGTCTTTGCTGCTTCATTTGTGCTGAGGTTAAGTTGTAAGATACACAAAGACTGACTTTTTTTTTTTTTGAGGAAAAGGAATGTTGGTGCTAGCTGTATATAGGCAAACCAGGGAAGGGTGTGCTTGCAGCTTCCCACCCTGAGATGTAGTCAGACACTAAAAAATTGTTTTTCCTTAGAGTTAGGACTTTGCCCTTTCATTCTCTTCCCATTATTTCCACTATGCCGCCATGCCCTTCAGATAGCTCTTCTAGTCCCACAGCTAAATTGTTCTTTACCCTTTGGAGATCTGTTTCTAAGAGGCAGTGTGGACAGTGTTAGTCGGTGTTCACTGCAGTGTCTGATACTTGCAACTTCAATATTTTAGGCGTTTAAGGATACTGGCAAAGCACCTGTGGAACAAGAGGTGGCGATTCATCGCATTAGAATCACTTTGACAAGTCGCAATGTAAAATCACTGGAGAAGGGTGAGTGTGCTTCTCTGCTTACCTGGGGAGCTTGTCAAGTAATGAATAATGGGTGCCATGTAAGGCATTGCAAAACACAATGTATTTAAACCAGTTGTAATTAAAGCTGTTACTGTTTGCCTTTTTTGCATGCCTCGGCTTGCAAAGCCAGCCCAAAGTGCTTCACACACCAGAAAGTAAATTCTGATTTCATTTTTAATTAAAGTTAGTGTTTTGGGGGTTTTCATTATGTGCAAAACTTACGTCATGACTCGTGTAAGAGAGTGCAGCTTCTTCTTCCCTTTAGTTCTTATGGAGAATTTTGAAGTAGTTATCACACTTTGAATGTATAAGAACTGAAAGGCACTGGTTTCTCCATATTTTGTCATTTGTGTTATGAAGAGTTCAGTGTAACATTCTTTAAAAAATATTTAATCTTGTTTAGGAATTAGCTTTGCCAGTGTTTAATCATGTAATAAAAATGTAAAAAAAGTTGATATTTGCAGGATCTTCAGGCGGATAACAGCTTAAATATGGTTTAAACATCTAGTAATGGCTGCTGATTATTGTTGCACCATGACTTTGCTCATCGTGTCACAACACTTCCAGTTGTATGTGGTTGGCTATGAGGAGAAAGCTTAAAATGAATGGCAGTGATCACTCATACGCTATTCTGAGCCAACACCTTGTTTGAAATACTTGCCCAAAAAATCAAGCAAGTTAAATAGTTGCAAACCTGAGCTACTGCATGTCTTTTTTCAGTCTGTGCTGACCTGATCAGAGGTGCTAAGGAAAAAAACCTGAAGGTGAAGGGACCTGTTCGCATGCCCACCAAGGTACTTGACACTGTTTTCCTGTCTTAAAAGTTAATTTTCTTCCTGCAACTGTGTGCTTAAAAACATGTTTTTTTAAAGAGGAAAAGGTGAGGTAAAAAGCAATGCTACTAAACTGAGGTTGACTCAGTGTAAAAAGATGATTTCACACATTGCTATGACACTAGGGTAACTGTTAAGTGCAAAACATGTTGAATCTGGAAGGGCTTTTCTGTTCAATTTATTTTAATAACGAGCTCATTTTTTAAATGAAATTAAATATGTAGGGAAGGAGTGTTAACATCATTAGACCTGTTATAATTAATAGGTAACTTCCTAATGGCATAGATACTATATAGTATTTGTAGGTGATGATCTTTCCATGCGATAGTAGATTGCTCCTCTCAGTGCATCAGCTCAATGTCCCTGTGTTTCACTTTTCAGACCCTGAGGATCACTACCAGGAAGACTCCTTGTGGTGAGGGTTCCAAGACCTGGGATCGCTTCCAAATGCGTATCCACAAGCGGCTCATCGACCTGCACAGCCCTTCGGAGATCGTGAAGCAGATCACCTCCATCAGCATCGAGCCAGGCGTAGAAGTTGAAGTTACTATTGCCGATGCCTAAACCATGGTCATCCTTGAATAAAGTTGATTTACAAATTTTCATCGCTTGTTTCTTTTCTTATGTGTGCCAAGAGATAGTTCTGTGGTGGTTTTTGTCAAGGAGGACAGCAGAAACCACAATCAGAATGCTGTGTGAGAGGACTGTATATTTAAGGAAGAATATGCCAGCTGTAAATACCAGGAAAATTTAACCTGGGTGTCCTTGTTTCATTGGGGGCTGGCAGCTATATGGTTGTGCAGAACTTTATGAAAAATATATTTTCAATAATTCAGGGTTTGATTTTGGCTGAAACACTAGTTTATACACAGACATTATACACAGAACCTACATTAAAATTGATATTTAGGTAAAATTACCAAGTTTTCAATTCTTGGTTCTTGCTGTGCAAGACTAAACCAACACTTATTTGGATTTATTTTTCTTCCCATGTGTGTCACAATCACAGGATCCTGGGGGGTGGTGCTAGTTATAAAACTTCCTAATTTGTGGTGAACACATTGAATTAACAAGTTTATTCTGATGTGCATGTAGAGTCACAAAACTGAACTATGGAACTACCTAGTTGTCTTTTCAGGTTTAGATTTCCATAGATATGATTGCTAAGAGTAAGCACCATATGTAAAGCAACAAAACAGCCATCTTTATTGCTGCTTTTAAGTTTCTCAAAGGAACTTCGATTAATCCTTAAACCAACAAAACAAAGCCCAGAGTTACAGAAAACAGTTTTGTTCAATCCATTAAGGATCACGTTGCTGCTTCTGCTTCGAGCATAGGAGAGAACTTGAATTCTAATTAAAACAAGCAGTGGTGGTTCTCTGCAAGCAGGTTGAGGTCTTGTTTATGTTTGCTAAGACCTAAAACTGACCAAAGCTTGAGCTCTCGTACTCAAGATATGAGAGGCTTTCAATTTCCTTAAATTTAATGCCTTGCAAGGATTCTGACCCCCTCGTTGTTAGGCTTGAGAGCTTTGATTGAAGGGAGATGAGTGAGTTAATGGGAACAGATTATGTCAAGCCTACTTCCTTGAGAAACAAATGTGTGAGCAGAGGGAAAATACCCCCCCATCACAAAACACCTGTGTCTTCCTTAAAGTCTGTTTTTGGTAATATGCCACAAATATAAGCTGCCTGATAAATACTTCTAGCTGTAGTTTTGAAATTACTTGTACAATACGGGTTGTTCTTTACAGGAATAACTGGCCAACAAATAGCACATGGAGAGACACTTCGCACCCACTGACATAAGTTATTTGTACGAAACTAGTCTGATTAACAGAGCAGCCCTTGGACTGACAGCACTTGGAGGGATCTAGGCACGACAGGCTGGGTTTGACACCATTTCTGCCTCTGGTTTTTCCTGCTCTTCAAGACTGTGGAACAGTTTTGTATGTGCTTACACCTGGCTGTACCTCTGACTTGCCGGGTACCTCTTAAACCCACCTAAACGACGTGAAGTCCCACCGATCTTCCTTCAGCTGCGGCACTTCAAGGACCAATCTCCTTTGTCACCTCTTCACTTGTCTCCTACTTGTCCATAAACACAGATGCAGCCTTACCTTTGTGTCTGGGTCCCGCACTGTGCAGAAATGCTGCTGCCCGCCTCCTGTGTGACCAGGCCGGCTCACACAGGAGGGCTTTACATTCGGTACCGGGAGGGTCGCTCAATCCGTAGCCTGGGGAAGGCGCTGGACCGCGGAGCTCCTCCAGGCTCATCCCGCCGTCCCTGCCCTGCACACTCCTGGCTTTCGCGTGACCCGCACATTTCACGATTTTATTTATTTCCTAACTTCGTTCTCTACTCCAACACCGCGCCAGCGCCGGGACGGTTACGTAACACCCACGCTGACTTCATATAACCCGCTCGGATGGAAACACTTCGGTACCCGCGTCTCCGCCGCCCATCCTCCCGCCTCCCCTTCCAGGCAGAGCACCCCTCTCCTCTGGCCGCCGGCTGTCGGTTCAAAGCTCTTCTTTACCGCCGTGCCCTACCCAGGACGATACGCAAACCCTGCGCACTGAGCACACGCCGCTCCATCCCGCTCCCCTCATTCCCCGTTCCCTCCTTCCCTCACGAGCCGTTGCGCTGTGCGGCGGCGCCCCCTGCCAGCCCGAGGGAGCGCTGCCCGCGCCTTCCCCGCTCCCCCGCGCTCTGCCAATCAGCGCCCGCCTTCCCCCCGCGCTCTGCCAATCAGCGCCCGCCTCTCCTCCCAAAATGCCCCCCCCTCCCCAGCGCGGGCCTGACTCGCGGGTTCCCGCGCGCGCCAAGGTAGCGGCGGCGCTCCCGGGAAAAGGAGCCGGGAATGGGAATGGGGAACGGGAGCGGGGGTGGCCCTCGGCCCCGGTGCCTGCGGGTCTTGGGCCTGCCGGGGAGGGGGCTGCAGGTGGATGAGAGCAGTGCCCAGCTGAGGCTTTCCCCTGAGTGTTTTTCCTAGTGTAACCTGCCAGGTGTTATTTATTTTTTTTTTAAAGGTCGTACTCCCCAAACTTCTCTAGATTGCCTTCGGAAGTGCTTGTTTATATACGAGCTGGCATAACATCTTTGTTATGGTCCGTGTGTATTTTTGTCCGTTCTCTCAGAAAATGTTGGTGATTTTTTTTCTTTTTTGCCTTTTTTTTTTTTTTTCTTTCCTCTTTCCTTTTAAGTTCCTCTGCAGAGAACGATGGCAGATGAGGGGAAAGGCTGTGTTCCCACGGAAGTGTGCGATGTGTTGGAATCGGTTTCTTTTCTGAGTGTAGAGGGTAAAGCATCACCCTTGGAGTCAACAGTATTGCCTAATACAGAGGAACAGCAGGTGTGCATTGGTGCATTCACAAGGTGTATTCTGGTCACGTTGGGTTATTTTTTTGGTGGATTTTGGGTTTTTCTTAAGCTTTAATAAATGCTTCTTTGGTGACAACTGCTGTACTTCTCTTCCCCTAAAATGTGTTTGATTTTTCTGCTTATTTCTTGTTGCTTACACACGGGTCATAGCCTGCACCAAATGCAGACATATGGTCAATGTTAAATCTGATGTGCTCAACTTTGAGGGAAAAGAAGTAAAGGGCTTCAGTAATTGCAATTTGACTGTAATGAGACTGTACTGTTCTCTTTAATAAGCTTTAAAAAATACATGGATCCTTAATGTGAAAGCTCATTAGGTGCTTGGACATAAAGTCTATAATGTTCTACTGTGCTCGAGCAGAAGATAATATACCCAGCTATGTGATTTTAGAGGGATCTGTTTCCTGGGTGACTTTTCCTCAGGTGGCTTCACTTTGTCTGCTTAGTGCTGGTCACAGCTGGGCTGCGGAGAACTCTGGTAACTCCATCTGCTGAATGAAATGTTGCCAAAGTGAAGGGAAAAACCCCTTGCGAAAGGAAGGAGTGCTGGGATCCCTCTAAAATGCTCCCTGTTCTCAGTGCTTTACCTGGGAAGCGGGGCTGTTCTAGAATGGTTGGGAAATGGAAAAGGCCACCGGAGCAACTGGGAGCGGTTTCCTGCTTGTGGCTGTGAGGAAGATGAGGGTCTGGTGCCTGGGTGGTGGTGAGGAAGCAGTCTCTGGGGGTTGGGAAATGTGTCAGTCAGGGCTAATGCTCCATAGGAAATAAAGTGCTGGGTAGCAGCTGTTAAATTAACACGGCTTGAGTTCAGTACAGCGGGAGCCCAGAAGGTGGAAGCACTGCAGTTCGTGCCTCCGATAGTGTGCTCTTGTAAAATCAAAATACTGCTTTTGTCGTGAAAGAATGCTAAAGGGAGGGGAGGGAGGGCGCACACTTAAAGGGTTATTTGAGGACAGTAGAAGGGAAAGAGGCGAATAAAAGCTTAGAGTCTGAACTTGACATAAAAGGAAAATGTAAGGCATTAATATAAAATAGGAAACACCATATCAGATGGTATGCTGATATGATTTGGGGCTGTTCTGCTTAAAAAGTGGCAATTATAACTGTGTTTTGTGTCTTTCTTCTTTTTAATTAATAGGTGTATGAACCTTTGAAAGTCTTCTTGAGAGTGAGGCCCTTTTCTGTAGCAGAGCTTGAAAGCCATGAATCCCAGGTTTGTTGTAGAACTAAGAAATAATGTGTTTTTTGGTTTTTTTCCTCCTCTGAACAACACATAGTGTTGTAAGGCAGAACGGCAGAATGTTCTTTTGCATAAGCCATGTACTGCCCTTATGTAGAATTGTTGGGCATCTGGATAGATGCAATATTTTTTTTTCCCATGCCCATGACTTTTAATTATTTGTATGATATAGGCATGCACACCTGCAGCTCTTCAAAGTTTCACTGGGTATGTTATTTAAAATCTGGTGTCACCTCTCTGTAGTGCTCAAGATACCAAGGAGTTCCATGGAAGAGATTATGCAATTCTAGGTGTAATTTGAGTATCTGACCCTAAAGCTTCTTTGAAATGCTTGAATAATCTCCTACCTCATCCTGGTGACTTCTTGCTCAAACCTGTCAAAAATCTTCTGTAACCTCTACGTGGTCAGATTCAGATGCTTCAGTGTTTTATACACACACATGTACAAACACTTAGAAGTGCTCTCCTTCCCCTCAATGTGATCACTGATGCAAAGAATTCCTTTAGCTGTCTTTGGAGGACAAGGTCTCTGTATCATATCGCTTAGCCCTTGTCTTTGCAGGCTCTGTGATTGAGGAGAGGTCAGTTTGCAGAGCTCTAAGAAGGATTTAATGTTAATTCTTATTTGCTTCTTGTAAATTGCTTTTTAAAAATACATTCTTGCTTTTGATCTACCAGAGCTGGAACCTTTGTATTGTTTTCACTTGGATAATTCTTCCCCTCTGCCTTGCCCCCCACTTCCCTTTGCCTTTCCTTAGCTCTCCTTGAATAGTGTGTACTTCCACAGTGCTTCCAGTTTGGCAAATTCCACTCTCTGAGCTGGCTCCAAGTGTAAACTGATTTGCAAAATCAAATTGTTTCAGGAGTTGTTTAGTGCATTCCTCTTTGGAGTGAGACATTTCTTAAAAGCAGGGAGGAAAAAGTGAACATTGAAGTTTGTCCAAATTTTTTTTTCTTTTCATGTAGTTCAGGCTGAAATAGTTGAACTTCCAACCTTTTCCTGTAGAATTTGTTTTGCATGGGATTAAGGCTTTTTTCTCAGCCTCCAAAAATAGAATGATTGAAAGATCTTCAACATTTTTAGTGTTTTCTACTTTCTTTACTATTACCTGAATCCAATAAGAAAATTGTTGGTAACAAATGGAAGAAGCCCACAGAAAACAATCAAGTTAGCATCACTTCCTAATTGTTAAATCAAACAGATAAATTTAATTTTTAGGTCTTATTCCTCCTTGCCATTCATAATTTTCTGGAAAGCACCTTTGTTCCAAATCTGTGGCACAAAAAAAAAAAAAAGTAGAACCCAAGACCTATTTCTTATAGTTACAGGCTGATGCTTTAAACAAAGACAATCAACAGGTTAACTGATCAGTTGATGCTTATAGAAATAATGATTTATGGAAGAAAAGCTTAAGAGCTCTGGGTGAAATTCTGTACTCCTGTCAGCAGTTCTCCAGAGTCACCTGTGGGAAAGTAGGAAGTTGTGGTTTTTGGATATAAGTGATGTGTTCAGTGCCAGAAATGGTGCAGCTCCTGCCAGCTTACCTGCAGGGTTAGCTGGGGGAGACAAGTGGAGTGGATTGTTATAAACTGGTTTCCATCTCTGCAGAGCTGACTGCTTTGGGCCTCTACTCACGGGCTTCTGTGAGGTTGGTGGCAGCTGATGGCACATGCTGCACATCCTGGGTTATTCTGTAGCTCTCTGGGGTTTGGTACATCTGACCAGCTCTCCTGTCCCGGCTGATGTGGGAGAAGTGTTAAAGACTGTACAGGTTCAGAGCCTGGCACGGTGAGCAGGAGATTGGTCTGAATTCAGACAGCAGTCTCTTAGAGCTTCTCAGAATCACAGAACAAGCTGAGTTTTAGGAGACCTGCAAAGATCATCAGAGCTCAACTTCTGGCACAGGACAGCCCCAGGAGTCCCACCATGTGCCTGAGAGTGTTGTCCAAACGCTTCTTGAGCTCTGTCAGTCTTGGTGCTGTGACCTCTTCCCTGGGGAGCCTGTTCAGTATGCAGCCATCCTCTGGGTGAAAAACCTTTTTCTAATATCCAACCTAAACCTCCCCTGACAACTTCAGGCTGTTCCTTCATGTCCTGTCACTGGTCACCAGAGAGAAGAGATCAGTGCCTGCCCATTTTTGTTTCCCTGTGTGCAATCCTTAGGCTGCTATGAGGTCTGTGCCTGTTAATTACTGGCATAGAGCTTCTATATCAGTTAATAATCAGACTTGTTAATTGAGGCTCCTAGGAACAGCAGCACTTCCTGTGTACATGCACACGTGGATTATTGATCTTAGAAGTTCTGGCCAGTCTCTGAACATAAGTGTCAGAATAAGTTACAATCAATCTTTTCAGATGATGCATCAAGACATTGCTAAGCTATACTGGGAGTTCACTTTGCATCTTTGGTAGCCTATCTGGTATAAAATTAATTTTCTTTCAACACTGCATTCTACATTTATCAAGCTAGTGAGTGTTTGGTAATTGTGTTTCACCTTTACTTAATTGAAAATAGCAATCAAATTACTTGAAACTAATTCGGTTTCCTTCATTACTGGTAACACTATTTATCAACCAAAGGGTAACTTACTTTACTTTGTTAATTCTGCTCTTAGGCTGTTTCATACTGAAAATGACTGTGGAAAAACAGTAGATTTCTAGGTAACTTTGTTTTTGTAGTGACTATGCTGATCACAAAATATGAGGGTTTAGAAAGTGATCCCAAGGAAAAGTTGCTGGAAGGAATGTCAGTAAAAGTTTTTAGTTCTTAGGAAACTCCAAAGGATTGCCTTGACTTTGTACTCTGGCTTTCATGTGAAGTGAATATCTCTGTAGTGACCATGCCTTGAGATGATAATTTAATATAAATTTAACATTTAATGTAAATTCTGGGACTTCTTGTAGCTCTGGCAAATGGGTGAAGATACTTGGCTTTGGGGGTGGTTGAAGGGGGTGTTCATTTTTTTTTTTTCTTCAATTGACTTTCC